GGAGCTGGAGAGGGACTTGGGACAAGGGATGGAGGGACAGGACACAGGGAATGGCTTCAAACTGCGAAAGGAAAGGGATAGATGGGATATTGGGAAGAAATTAAGGTGGGGAGAGCCTGGCACAGGGTGCCCAGAGAAGCTGTGGCTGCCCCTGGATCCCTGCAAGTGTCCAAGGCCAGGCTGGATGGGGCTTGGAGCAACCTGGGATAGTGGAAGGTGTCCCTGCCATGGCAGGGGGTTGGAAAGAGATGGTCTTTGATATCCCTTCCAACCCAAACCATTCTGTTATTATTTTTCCATTTTTTTTTTTCTATTCAGTAGCTCCAAAATTAAATTAAAAACTTGTAAGAGGAAGGTAATAAATTGCTCTCTGCATCAGCTGGCAAGGAGTAAAGAAAGCTTAGACTAGACCAGAAACCTTCCAACCAAGAGGACAGGGAGTCCACTGAAGGAGGAAAAAGCAGGAAGGAAGAAAAAACTCCCCATGAAGGGAGGTTTTGGAAAAGACAAATCCATCCTCAGGAAAGGGGCTTGGACCAGATCTCTGTTGTCCTTCCCATGTGTGCTCTGGGATCAGAGCACTTGAGTTAAAAGTTAAAAACCAGACCAGAGAGTTAAAAACCAAACCATACCCAGAGCAGCCACATTCTCATGAAAAGGAGAAAACTGAGTGAAAAACAGAAAATGCAGTAAGATGTGATAGGGACTGGGATGGTTTGTGGGAGCAGGAAGGCAAAGGGAAAGCGAATTTTAATCCATGTCTGAGCAGATAATATTAGAGGATGCTCAAAGTTTCTTTTCTCCCACCTTTATCATTCAGTTAACAAAAGCTATTTCCTTCTCCTTCCTGCCTCATTTATTAAGCCATAAACATTCACAGCATAGCCTGATTTTCCTAGACTTAAATAAAATTGCAAGAATACAAAAATACCAACAAAACATGCATTCATCACAAAAACTTTACTTACATCAACAAAAAGAATTCACCCCAAGAAAGTCAAAATAACTTTTTAGAGTCATTTAGGTTGAATAAGAATAACATGGCAACACCAACAAAGGTGGACAAATTACACACACCCCACCCCTCACTCACCATTCAAATCAAAATTCCCCACATTTCCAATGCTCTGCAGCAATTGCCCAGTCCATGTTTTGCCTATTACATCTCCCAGTTATTGTCCTGATTTCCAGTTTCTCCAGAGCCCCCATGTTTGGAAACAAAAGGTGCAGCAGAACAGGTTTGAACCATGCCTTGCAATCACTTTTAGCTCATTTTTAATATGCTTGAAGACCTGGGAGCAGCACAGGAGCCAGCAGAGCTGGACATGACCTCAGACAGACAAGCAGTAAAGACTGATCCTGGCTTTCCAGAGGATTTTTGGATGGCCTGCCCAAGGCAAGGCAAACCCATCTTTACAAACACTTAAATATTATGAATTTGCCACTGTTCTGCATTGGCTGTGGGCAGGATCCATTTCTCCCAGCCCTGGTTCTGGCAGATGCACCATGGATAATCTTCCTTTGCAGAATCATCGTTTGGGTTGGAAAGGACCTTAAAGATCATTTATTTCCACCCCCCTGCCATGGGCAGGGACTCCTTCCACCCAGAGTACCACTCTCCTTGGTATAAACCCCAGTTTTTGCAAATGTTGTTCAAAGTCCTTTAATCTCTGCTGCTTTGAACCACAAAATTGCCTTTCCTCTCCAAGATTTTGGCAAAACATGTAATTACAGCACGGCAAACACTGTTCACCAGGTGTGCGTGTCTCTTTTTATCTGTCTAAAGTTCCCACATCACCAAATGGCACTGCCTAAGTCCCAGGATAACCTCTGCTCCAAAAAGGGTAAAAAAAGAGGGAGGAAAGGGATGAAAGGCATCAAGAGGGAGAACTGTTCCTCCTGACTGACAAGATCCCAGGTGCTCACACATCTCTGTATGTGTTTATTTCAAATTCCTCCATGCAGACCTACCCCATCACCTTTTTTTTTTGGCTTAAGTGCATCAGTACAAAACTGTTCCTCATTAGTTTAAATTAACCATAATGGCCCTGATTTGGAGAGAAAGGAAGGGATAGATGAAAAGCAAGGAGGTGGCAGGATGGCAGCGAGCTCTGATGGGCTTTAGCTGAGCTGCAGTGACAGCACAGGATGTGATCTCTCCCTGCCCTGGTGGGGAGGGCAAAGGCATCAGTGCAACCTCAAGGGTTTTCTGTGTGGTTGGGGCACATGTGGCAGCCCCCAGGCTCTTATCCCCACCAAAAATTGCCCCTTCAGCTCTCCCATCCCATCCTTGCACCCCATTCAAACCCTGCAGTCCACGCCAGCTCAAACCTCTCAGCAGCAGGGACAAGTTGTGTTTGGAGACGTCAGGAGAGGAGAAGAGCTCAGGATCAGGGCAGGATCAGGGCAGATGCAAAATCTTCATCCCAATGAACCTCTCTTTCCTTCCTACGTGGTTAAAATCCCGCTGTACATGAGAAGCTTCAGCCAAGCCTCCACTTTGGAGAGAGGCACATGTTTTCTTTATCTCTGGGTGTCACTGGATAGATTAGATGAGATAAATATATCTCCACAGCAATCTGTGTTGCTGCAAAGATAGGGCTACAAAATTCCATGGGATGAGATCTTCTCATGCTGAGTTTAGCATCCCAGTAAGAAACAATCCTTCATTTTGGTGGCTGACATGTTTTCATCAAAACATAAGGAAACTGAATTTGACCTCAAGTGTTTGATGTTTGGGCATTTTTTTTTAAATTCACATTAAAAAAGCTGTTAAGTGTTTGTTGGATGGGTTATTTTAAGCAAAACCCTTCTTATCAACATTTTCCTTGTTCAGTATTTTTTTTTTATTTTCTTGTATTTTCCAGTTTTCTTGTTTTCAGCAGGGCCAAAAGCCCAGCTCATGGAAGTTGGGTGAAATCTTAAGGGAAAAAAAAGGTGCATGAAACCAATGAGGAAAATAAAAAAAAATGTGTCATTTCCTGCAATGATTATCAAGGGAAACAAAGGAAAAAATAAACTGTAATATTTTTTGTCCACTCTCATGCCCAGTGAATCCACGGATCTCCCATGCTCTGACAGCACCAGTTAAATCATCCCACTGTCCAACTGGCCTGCCCTTTATAACAACTATTTTTTTAAGGAAAAAAAGTTTTAAAATCATGGATAAACACACTCTAAGGAAATATTTCCTGTGTACAGTAGAAAGAGGCTGAGGGAGAGCCCCTGCTCACCAGCAAGGTCAGTCCCCATCACAATGTATGGAGGCAGGTCACCGGGGGGAAACCAGTGTAAACAGGATCTGCTTTTATCAGTGGGAAAAAAAAAAACCCGGGCCTGTTTAAATCAGCCAGAAATATGTGCCTGTATGTTTTAGTCACAAGCTGCTGTGTCCAAGCCTCGCTGCTCGGCTCAGTCATGGACAGGAGCTGTCCCTGCACAGGAGACCCCGACTGGCCCTTCTGCTTTGGGAAGCAGCTCATGGGGGGATTGCCTGCACCAGGAGGGCCAGGCTGGGGTGGTGGGACTGGGAGAAGAGGGTCTGGCACGGGAGGGATGCTTGATGGAAACCCTGGATGTGGGACAAAAAAGGAAACCTGGGAGGGCATCCTTCTGATGGGATGCTGCGGCTTGGGGGGACAGGATGGCTGTGAAGGGCATCCTCCTGGTGGGATGCTGCGACTTGGGGGGACAGGATGGTTGTGAAGGGCAGCCTTCTGGTGGGGTTCTGGGGCTGAGGGAGGCCATGGCAGCCTGGCAGGACATCCTCCCGCTGGGGCGCTGTGCCGGGGGTCGCGCTGCGGGGTCTCCAGGGGGATGGAGCATCCCGAGCTGTCCCCGCACCCGGGACAAACCCTGCGCTCTGCTGCCCTCCGGCGGTGACGGGCGGGAGCGCCGCACCCCCGGGGCTGAGAGACCTCCTGGGGCTGTACCCCAGTTCTGAGTGACCTCCTGGAGCTGTACCCCAGTTCTGAGTGACCCTCCTGGAGCTGTACCCCAGAGCTGAGTGACCCTCCTGGGGCTGTACCCCAGTTCTGAGTGACCTCCTGGAGCTGTACCCTAGTTCTGAGTGACCTCCTGGAGCTGTACCCCAGAGCTGAGTGACCCTCCTGGAGCTGTACCCCAGTTCTGAGTGACCTCCTGGAGCTGTACCCCAGTTCTGAGTGACCCTCCTGGGGCTGTACCCTAGTTCTGAGTGACCTCCTGGGGCTGTACCCTAATTCTGAGTGACCTCCTGGAGCTGTACCCCAGAGCTGAGTGACCCTCCTGGGGCTGTACCCTAGTTCTGAGTGACCTCCTGGGGCTGTACCCTAGTTCTGAGTGACCTCCTGGAGCTGTACCCCAGAGCTGAGTGACCCTCCTGGAGCTGTACCCTAGTTCTGAGTGACCTCCTGGAGCTGTACCCCAGAGCTGAGTGACCTCCTGGGGCTGTACCCTAGTTCTGAGTGACCCTCCTGGGGCTGTACCCCAGTGCTGAGACCCTCTCGGGGGCTGCCTCCTCCCAGTGTGCCTGAACCCCCTCCATCATCTCGCCTTGACTCTCTCCATCATCCCGCCTCGACTCCCCTCCATCATTTCTCCTCTCCCCGCCGGCTCCTCTGCCTTTTTCACTCTTCCCCGGGCTCGCCTCGTCCTGCAAGGCAGCGCTGCCGCTGCTGCCGCCTCCTCCTCCTCCTCCTCCTCCTCCTCCTCCCCGGCGGCACCTGACGCGCGGGGCTCCCTCCCGCCCCCGGCCCGTCCGGCCCCTCCCGCCGCCGCCGCTCGGAGCGCGGAGCCGCGGAGCCGCCGGGCGCTGCCGGCCGTGCCCAGCGCAGCCCCCGGAGCATGCGAGGGCGGCGGGGCGGCTCTGACCGCGGCTCTGACCGCGGCTCTGACCGCGGCTCTGACCGCGCTGCCCCCCCGGGCGGGCCGGCGGCGGGGCTGAGCTGCGGGGACAGCGGGGACGGGGGGCAGCGCGGACGGACGGCGTGAAGCGGGCGGGGGGCCACGGGCAGCTCGTCCTGCCCTCCCTCCGTCTCTCTCTCCATCCTTCTCTCCCCTCCATCCCCCCGCCCCGGCCGGGGGAGCGAGGTGCGGAGCGCGTCTTGGCGGGGGCTGCCAGCCGGGGATCATGCCGGGGGAGCTGCGCCTCGGCACCGCTTTCTCCTCGCCCTCAATGGAGCCCGGACTTTTTCTACAATGACTTTCCCCGAGCTGAGCAATGGCAGCTTGAGTGGGAACCGGACGGGACAAGGCAGCCAGAGCGCTGCCAACCGGTCCTGGGGGCTGCAAGGGGAGGAGAGCCCCGAGGGCAACGGCACCACTCTGACTTTCGCCGTGGATGTGCAGGCGGTGGGCGTCGGGGTCTTCCTGGCCGTCTTCATCCTCTCGGCCATCGTGGGGAACATCCTGGTCATCCTCTCGGTGGCTTGCAACCGGCACCTGCAGACGGTCACCAACTACTTCATCGTCAACCTGGCCATCGCCGACCTGCTGCTCAGCACCACCGTGCTGCCCTTCTCGGCCACCCTGGAGGTTTTGGGTTTCTGGGTGTTCGGGCGCATCTTCTGCAACATCTGGGCAGCGGTGGACGTGCTGTGCTGCTCTGCCTCCATCATGAGCCTGTGCATCATCTCCGTGGACAGGTACATCGGAGTCAAGTACTCCCTCAAGTACCCCACCATCATGACCGAGAGGAAGGCGGGGGTCATCCTCGTGGTGGTCTGGCTCTCCTCCATGGTCATCTCCATCGGGCCACTGCTGGGCTGGAAGGAGCCACCGCCGCCGGATGAGAGCATCTGCAGCATCACGGAGGAGCCGGGCTATGCCCTGTTCTCCTCCCTCTTCTCCTTCTACCTGCCCCTCATGGTCATCCTGGTGATGTACTTCAGGATTTACGTGGTGGCCAGGCGGACCACCCGGAGCCTGGAGGCAGGGGTCAAGAAGGAGAGGAACAAGTCCATGGAGGTGGTGCTGCGCATCCACTGCCGCAGCGTGCTGGAGGAGCCTCTCTCCAGCACCCGGAGCAAGGGCCACAACTTCAGGAGCTCCCTCTCCGTGCGGCTCCTCAAGTTCTCCCGGGAGAAAAAAGCAGCCAAGACTCTGGCCATCGTCGTGGGTGTTTTCATCCTCTGCTGGTTCCCCTTCTTCTTCATCCTGCCTTTCGGTAAGTGACCCCATCCCAGCTCCACTGCCTGGGGCTGGACCCCCGGGGGCCTGCTCCTCGGGACAAACTTTACAAGAGACAACTTGTGCATGGAAATGAGGGATAGGTGACTGATAGGTGAATAAACTAGCGATGAATTAATTCAATTAATTAACACTTATTCAATATTTATTAAGCAAAGTCATATAATCAATCAAAGTTGATAGCAAATGAATAAAATAACAGCATAATAATTGCTTTAATTAATTCATTCTGCGTTCAGCGTTTTAACTAACGAAGTTCAGGCTAAGGAGGAAGCAGCTGTGTTTCAAACAGGCTGATTTTATGGCACAGTGGTCTCCAAACTGTTTTTCTATCTTCTCGTTCTCCCAGTTTGGGAACTGCACCTGGATATGCCCTTGTGGGTCCAGGACTCCCACCTCTGCTGGACATAAGTGAGTTTTTATCCCTCCAAGGAGTGTGTCAGAGCCTGAGGCAGAGATCTTGACTTCCCGGGTTGCTGTTGTTGTGCAGAGACCTGGAGCAGGACAGGGAGGACAGGGTATTATCCATAAGGGTGATGGGTGAAGATCCTATCTGGTTTTCCAGCACTGATCCACCACCCCCAGGAGCTGCGGCCCTGCTGTAGTGCCTGTGTGCTCATTTAGGGATGTCTCACGAGTTTTGCTCTAAAGTTCTGGCAAGTTGTTTGTGAAAAGGATGCTCCCCCCTGCGTGCAGGGGAGGCTGAGCAGGCACAGAGCCCACCAGGGTCGTGTGATGTCCAAAGCAGCGTCCCCTTCTAGCACCGGTGGCCCAGATGTGCAGGGAAGCCAGTGCTCCCCATCCTGACAGCAGGCACCCAGCTCAGGGGACCTGATTAACCCTCTGGAATGCTGCAGCTGAACCTGGAGCTGGGAAGAAAGAGATTAAAATAATTCCTGAGTAGCAGCAGCAGCCTTTGCACAGAGCTCAGCGCAGCAGAGAGGTCTGGCATTCCATCTGCCAGCTGGGACCCACGTGTGCCACAGCCCATGGGGCACTTGTGTCCCCACAAACCCCATGGCCAGGGGAACGTTCATCACACTGGGGATTCCCTTTTTCCCAGGGTTTCTCACATCCTCTGGCTCGGGGCTGCTTCTCAAGTCAGTGGGAACAGCATCGTGGCTGCCGGGCAGATTTTGACCTGCTGAGGTTTTGAGCTCCCTCCAGCACTGGGGCTGATTCCCTGGCCTGTCTCCCCAGGGACAGCTGGAGCTGTGGGACAGCCTCCAGTGGGATAATCCACTGGGATCGAGAGCTGAGGTGTCCCTGGAGTGGTGGATCAGGGCTGGAATCGGTCTGCTCTCACCGTGCTGCTGCCTGGTGCCTCTGCTCCAGTGTCTCCCTGTGGGTCAGGGGGGTTTTGGGGGTTTGGCTCAGCTCTCCACGGGGGTGAAATCATTCCTGTGAGGAATTTTCATCCTGTGGGAGTGTTGCAGTTGGTGGTATTACTCAGGCAGGGCGCAGTAAGGCTGCACTGAGCTCCTCTCCCTGCAAGACCTGGGATGAGTTATCCCATTTGACCATGCCTCAGTTTCCCTTTCAGTGATCAGGTATTGGGGGGAATGGAGGGGAGGTGGTGTAAGCTGCAAATAAAGAGTTTGGGAATTGTGGGGCTCAGGGAGATGCCAGTACTTGAAGGCTGAGTTCTCTGGGCAGCCCCACTCTGATATTCCCTTTCTTGGCCAACCAGGGCAGGGACCAGCTCCAAACCTCATTTGCACCTTTACACCTTAAAATCATGAAATCACAGAATTATTGGGGATGGAAGAGACTTTAAAGATTGTCTAGTTCCAGCCACCTGACAACCTTCCAGCTAATGAAGCTGGAAATCAGGATCCTGTTCCTCTGAGTTACTCCCAGTACTTTGAAATAGAGAAGGAACCTCAGGCAAATACTTTTCAGTAGAAAAAAAATGATTTTATTTTGTTTTACCATATCTGTTCTGCCTTGAAACCCTTGAGCCAGCTTCTCTGCTGATGCTAATCAGAGAAGTCAAAGGAGGCACAATGATTTCCACCAGCTAAAAATCCAAACTTCATTCTTTAGGTACCTCCCATGAACCCATTTGCTTCTTCCGAGCACAGAACTGGCCAAGTCCTTTATAAACACAGCTTTGATCTTTACTTCCTGCCATATTATATGTATAATACAAACACAGCAAAAGTTCATTTATTTTATGACTACAAATTATTCTGCCTCTGATTCCCCCACCCCCTTTATTAATTGCAATTTCCTATTCAAATCTGAGAATCGTTCAATGCTGTCAAGAATGGAACAGAAACTTCTAATCTTGGATTTTATAGCTCAGGAGAGAGCAAGTTGTGAAAAGTTTCTGAAACTTGCAGAAATCAGTACATTTTACTGCAAATCCACAAGCTGAAACATGCTGGGGCCAACTCTGCTAAAAAAGAAGGTTGTAAGTGGTAAAGTAGAATGGGTTTTATTTATTTCATTAGACAAAATTAGGTGAAATAATTCAGGACCAACTGAAAATTATATTGATACACATTTAAATAGAAGTGAAATTCTTATGAAAAACAAAGTAACTTTCAATTGAAGAGCAATGTATTGTTTCAACTTAAGAGTAAATGGGAATTTACTAAAATTCAGAGACATTTCATATTGAGCCTTCAAAAGGCATCCAAGTGAAACGAATAAGTGATCTACTTTCTTCTGAAAAATATCCAAATGTTTTGACTTCTTTTTTTCCCTCTTTGACATGAATTTGCAAGAAGTCATCACTGAGTCACACCGTTCACTGATGTCTGATTAAAATTTTTAGTAAAATTAAATTTTTCAAGTGACAAAAGACTCTCAGCTCCACGTAAAAGTCCTTCAGCACTCGGAAACTTCCGTACTCACGCCTTCCTCAGTGTCTCTGAGTCTGCACAAATCCCTGCCACTCTCTGCAGAGTAGTTCCCACATTTGTTACACAGGAGTAATATTCATCACATAGGTGCTGAAAAGCTGAAATAACCCCAAATTTCAAATAACAAGGGTTTGAAATGCTGTCAGCCGTTTCTCCACGCTCGAATAATCTGCAATGATTCTTTCTTTAAATCAGCTCAAACGCCCCGATGCCGCCACAGTCCGTTTATCAGCTGAGTATTTTAACTCCCTCTTGCATGTGTGGTCACAGTCCCTGAGCACTGGAGGCAATCACCAGGAGTTTAAATACAATTAACAGCTTCTGTGGCTAATGAGGATCTGTAGCAGCAGGTTGTTCAACCCAAGATGAAATCAAAGATGAAATTGTAGCTCATGTTTAGGTCGTGTCTTTGCCGAGTGTGGGGAGCAGTGGAGCTGTCCTGGGCTGTTGTGTGGGGATGCTGGGAGGTGGTTCTGGGCTTTGTGGCAGGGTCTCTCTTCCCTGAGCAAACACCTGTCAAGAGAATTTACCTGGAGACTTTTCAGAGATGTAGGGCCAGGAGTTTAAGGCTGGTTTGTAGCATAGGGTTCATCTCCCTTTGGTTGTCTCAGGCCACGGAGATGCTCCAAGGGCTGGAGCCCCTCTGCTCTGGAGCCAGGCTGGGAAAGCTGGGGGTGCTCACCTGGAGAGGAAAAGGATCCAGGGAGTCCTCAGAGCCTAAAGGAGGTTTATAGAAGGAGGAAGAATGACTTACTAAGTGGTCAGAAAGTGATAGGACAAGGGACAGTGTTTTTAAAGTGCCAGAGGGCAGGGATAGATGGAATATTGGGAAGGAATTGTTCCCTGTGAGGGTGGGGAGGCCCTGGCACAGGGTGCCCAGAGAAGCAGTTGCTGTCCCTGGAGCTCTGGAAGTGTCCAGGGCCAGGTTGGAGCAATCTGGGATAGGGGGAGGTGTTCCTGGCCATGGCATGGGTGGTGTTGAAGGTCCCTTCCTACCCAAACCATAGCATGGTTCTGTGACTACAAAAATATCCAGGCACAAATAATGAGCTGACGGTGCCTGCACTGCAGGTATTTGCAGAAAAGTGGGATATATCCTAGTCTGGATTTTTTACTCAATGATCTCTGAGGGCTTCTTCAGCTTTAACAATTCTGTGACTCTGTAGAGGCTTCACTGGCTCTTTTCTTAATGGAAAATCCCGTTAAAAGTTAGGTGCTGGGTTTGTCCTTGCAGTAGGACACCTATGCCAGGTGGTCAGGGAGCCAGAACCCCCTGCAGATTGTCACCTGCTCTCTCAAACCTCATCCAAATGGAAGTAAATAAGAATAGAAGGGGGGTGGAAGCCTGATTCCCATCACTCTTCACCTGGGGAACACCTGAAGTCAATGTGAGTCCTCAGACAGGACCATCCCAGGAGGTCAAGACCTTCTCCATCAGCACCTCAGAAGGACCTAGGAGGAAATGGCCATCCTTTGGGATCAAGGACAGACTAGCCAGTACCCAGGATGGTGAGTTATGTACTTCAGTGCCTGTGTTTTTTAAGCATGGTCTAGTCTCCCATAGTGGGCTCCCATGTTTGTTATGAAATCAAGACTGGTGTGAGAAAGACACATAGTGAGAAATGAGGAAACACCACACAGGGGTGAAGACCACAACCTGAGGCTCCCTTCACCCTGTCCATCCACAAGCAGCAGGTTATCCAGCCAAGGAATGCCTGAGGAGATCCCTGAGCACAGAGAAAACCCTCCAGACCGACAGTCTGATGTTTGCCTTGGGTTGGTGACTTGCTGTGTTTGCAGGGGAAGCTGCTGCTCATTTCCAGGTGTGATTCAGAACAGCGAACTGGCTTTTCCACCTGAAGGACAGGCAGCTGCTACACCAGCCAGGCTCTGAAAGGTCTCCTCCAAACCAAAATATAAATATCTTTTTAGTTGCTGACTGGTTGACATAGGGCAGGAGCCCTTTCACAAAGCGTTTTACAGAGCTCAACTTTGCCGTGCTCAGCTTCAGGAAGTGCCACTTGTAAAATAAATGATGGGGAAAACACTGTGAAAGTACATTTCATGTGAGATTAAATCTGTTCTGGTAGAAATGAAGAATCTAATT